CCACACTTTCGGTAAACACGTCCAATCGTCCACTTTTCCTGATTATTCCTGTGGTCCTTTGCAAGCACCGTCTGGCCTGGGTGGAACAATCGCTGTTTTGCACCGCGGCATCGGTTGAATTGCCTTTCAATTGACGTCGGATGGGCTGATTAATCAACAACACGAACAGATGACAGCGGACGAATAACGTCAAATGGTGTTCGAAGTTTTATCTGCATCAAAGTTTCTGCAGGAGAGACATCTTTAAAGTGTGAGGGTTAGGGGTGGCTCGATATTTCAGCAGGAATAGTTTGACTTCTGGAGAGCCCGCTTGAAGGTGTCGACAAATCGCTCAACCTGTCCGTTGGACTGCGGTTGATATGGTGGCGAATGCAAGTGGTTAATGCCCGACTGCTTGCAGAATTGGGCGAAGGCGGCTGATTTGAACTGCCCTCAATTGTAGCTCACGAAAGTTTTGGGGCAACCGAACCTGCTGAACAGTCGCCGAAGAATGTTGATTGTGGCTCTGGCTGTCGTGTGTTCCATGAGGATGACTTCCGGCCATTTGCTGTAAGCGTCAACGGCGATGGGGAAGTTCTGGCCATTGAGCGGTCCGGCGTAGTAGATGTGGACCCTGGACCATGGGGCTTCTGGAACAGGCCATGCCATGAGTGTGGTCCTCACTTGCGTCTTTGATGCGAGCGCGCATTTGGTACAATAACGGGCCAGCTGTTCCAGTTGTTGGTCCATGTGAGGCCAATACACATAATCCCGAGCGAGAGCCTTCATGCGGTTGGTGCGGGGATGTCCGTTGTGGAATTTTCTCAAGACTCTGGCTTGTAGCAATTGTGGAACAACGACACAATCGTAGAACAGAATACAATCGTTAATGGTAGACAGAGACTTTTGTCGTTGGTAGAACTGCTGCAATTCCCCAGAGGTTTTCGCGGGCCAATGATTGCAGTGGTACTTTATAACTTGTCTTAAAAGAAGATCCTGCTGGCTTGTTTTCCGGACTTCCTCAAACGTGCCAGGGAGTGTACGAATGGAATCCATAAGTAGATTATTGACCTTAGACTCAACGGAGACGAACATGACGACTTTCTCCCCAGGCTCCTTAGTCCATGAGTTGATTAAGCGTGAAAGTGCGTCTGCCTGACTGATGGTTGTTGTAGACTGGTACCGGATTTCAAATTCGTAGCCCAGCAGCATGGTTGCTCAGCACTGAAGGCGATTTGCCGAGTACACAGGAATGCCTTTTTTCGAGCCAAAAATAGCAAGAAGGGGCTTGTGGCCCGTGAGAAGTGTGAAATGACGCCCATAAAGCATCTTATGAAATTTCTTCACAGCAAAAATGATAGCCAAGGCTTCCTTTCCGCTCTGTCCGTAATTGTGTTCGGCAGAAGATAGTGATCTTGCTGTATGACAGATGGCCCTATCTTTGTTATCGGGAAAAACGTGTGGAATCACAGCGCCAATTCCGTAGTTGGAGGCGTCCTCAGCCACGACAATCCTCAGATCAGGATTGAAGTGCGTGAACAACAAATCAGAGCTCAACACTGTTTTCACTCCTTCGAAAGCTTGTTGACACTCTCGCGACCAGGACCACTTTGCATCTTTCTTGAGAAATTCATTCATCGGATGACGAAGGCGGAGCATTTCCGGTAGGGACGAACTATAGTGACTCATGAGACTCAAGAAAGCGCGCAAAGATCTTACGTCCTTTGGTGGTGGCATCTGTTTGATGGCTTCGATTTTGTCTGGATCTGGGTGACGGCCGTCTTGGTCGACTACAAACCGATATATCTTACAGAAGGCATGAAGAAATTGCACTTCTCCAGACTCAGACGGAAACC